GGGGGCTGGGCTAACCCCTAGAAACTCTCATGAGTCGGTGTATTGTGAGCATGGCCTTTAACGCTCAACCCGCTTTGCTCAATAGATGAAGCGTATTGTGTGTGTTTTCATCAATACCTGATTAAAGGGGCCTAATTCAAGGCCTAGTCCATTATGTCCCCCAGGTGGCGATGAACTCACTAAGGAAAGGTTCAAAGCCGAAAGCCACCTCTCCCGAATTCACGATACGAAAGGTTGCCCAACCTATATTTGTTTTATGATTTCTTGATTTATTTATTGATTTCCGAGTCTTCAGTCAATATTGCCTTTTGGGGGGGACTGTTAGATATTTTGTTAACAAAAGGCAATTTTGCCTTCATGAATTATAATAAATATTGTAATTAAAACATGCAATTAAAATATGTGTAACGGATATATAATTATGGGGAACGTTATAAAATTTATGACGAACGTTACAGAATTAATCACGGGTTTTGTAACGTCTTTTCCAACCCTATATATATATCCATATGTTGAGCTCAAAATAATAAGGAAAAATATACAACAAGTTTCTCTTGTTTTTCTTCTCTCCCCTACATATTATTTTCATCTACATTTTAGTTTTATTTTATAGGCAACTTCCTTCATCTGAGCTGAAGCTCTGCACTCTCGCCTGAGTGTAGAGGCCGGCCGTTTCCGGGGGGTTTTACCGCTAGGGGGGAGGGAACCATCTGCGCCAGGGCGATAGGCGGGTTCCCAATCTTCTAGGGCAGTGAATACACGACTGCTCCCGTTCAGGCCTGATTTTCTTATCTCTTATTTATTTTGATTTCGGATTTATTTCATTCTATAATATTAATTAATTAATAAATTTCCAACACATAGAAGATTCCACATGTGTACAAAGTGAACAGCTATTCTCCGATCTGTTCATTCTCAGTCAATGGAGACTCTATGTCATCCTCCTCTTTTGCTTAACGGAATCATGCTTATTTGTTGGTGCAAAAGAAATTGTATTGTTAAACTACAATTTATTTTTGCCTATAAGGCCACAAGGGAGGAAGTATGTTTAGCATATATTAACCCGTCCATACTCGTATTCATTTAAAACTTCCAATTCGAATTTTCAAATTTGTTATCTAAACTTGTTCCACTTTCAAATATGAATATCTTTTAAAATGTTCACTGAAATCACTTGATTAAGACAGCATTATTATTTCATTAAAAAGTAAAATATCCTTTATTTAAGCAAAACATATATGTTTTGATAGAACTTAAATTTAAAAGTTGGTATTTCATAGTGAAGAAGTATAAATCTGTAACTTGAATATTTGTTCAAAAATCGATTGAGGCTCTTAGTTCTCTCAAAAATAAGCATAGAATTCATTATAATAAATAAGTACGAAAAATCATAACGTAATATCATGATTGTAAAAACATATTGACTATTAACCTTTGAATGGACATTTGATAAACAAACAAATGTATATATTTGATTAATTTAATGTACAATCATAAAAATTATTAGATTTGTCTTGATAGAACTTCATCTCCAATGGTATACTCTATATTTAGAAGGTTTGAAGAGAATATTCTTCAAGGTTCCTCAAATATAGAGGGTTTGCAAAATTTTTGCTCCAATGGTGCCCTCTATATTTATATTAAGGAAAAAATACTTCCAGCCCCCAAAAGCCAAGGAAACGTGCTTCCCACCCCCAAGACTTTGTCAATGGGTGTTTTACCCCCAAAAATAAAGATTCTGTTCTCTGAGCCCCAAAACACAAAACCCAAGAGATTAAAATATGTGAAGACCATAATACCATTCTCTCTCTTTTTCTTTTTCTATTAAAATATGATGATGATTATTTTATTATTTTTGTTTTCTCTCTCTTTATCATGATGTACTAAGACGATAGTTAAAATGATTAATGAGGATTATTTTATTATTTTTATTTTTTATTATTTTCGTTGTTTGTGTTGGGAGATTGTTAAAATTACGGGTTAATTGTTAATGTTATGAATTAATTGTTAATGTTACGGATCAATTGTTAAGGTTATGAATCCGCCCCCCCCTCTCTCTCTCTCTATCTATCTATCTATCTATCTATCATGATGTTACTTTGATGATATTGAAATAATTGAAGAGGATTATTATTTTATTATTATTTTTTATTCTTTTTGTATTTTTAGAATATTCGTTGTTAAGGATAATGGTTGGTTGTAAAGGTTATGCATTGATTGTTAAGGTTACGGGTTGGTTGTTAAGGTTACGGGTTTGTTATTAAGGTTATGGGTTTGTTGTGTAGGTTACGGATTTGTTGTTAAGGTTACGGGTTTAATTGTTAAGGTTACAGGTTTAATTGTTAAGGTTACGTGTTTAATTATTAAGGTTACGAGTTTAATTATTACGATTACGGTTTAATTGTTAAGGTTACGGTTTAATTATTAAGGTTATGGGTATAATTGTTAAGGTTACGAGTTTAATTATTACGATTACGGGTTTAATTGTTACGGTTACGGGTTTAATTGTTAAGGTTACATGTTTAATTATTAAGGTTACGGATTAATTGTTAAGGTTACGGTTTAATTATTAAGGTTACGAGTTTAATTGTTAAGGTTATGGGTTTAATTGTTAAGATTACAGTTTAATTGTTAAGGTTACGAGTCAATTGTTAAGGTTACAAATTTAATTATTAAGGTTACGAGTTTAATTGTTAAGGTTACGGGTCAATTGTTAAGGTTACGAGTTTAATTGTTAAGATTACGGGTCAATTGTTAAGGTTACGGGTTTAATTGTTAAGATTACGGGTTTAATTGTTAAGGTTACGGGTCAATTGTTAAGGTTATGGATCCCTTCTCTCTCTCTCGTAACCTTAACAATTAAACCGGTAACCTTAATAATTAAACCGTAACCTTAACAATTAAACCGGTAGCCTTAACAATTAAACCAGTAACCTTAACAATTAAACCCGTAACCTTAATAATTAAACCTGTAACCTTAATAATTAAATTCGTAACCTTAACAATTAAACTCGTAACCTTAATAATTAAACCGTAACCGTAACAATTAAACCTGTAACCTTAACAATTAAACCCGTAACCTTAACAATTAAACCCGTAACTTTAACAACAAATCCGTAACCTACATAACAAACCCATAACCTTAACAACAAACCCGTAGGGGGTGTTAGTCTGCTAGAACATTTTTGATAGAAGTGGAACAATTTTTCTTATGGGATAATTTTTTAATGTGGGATATTTTAATAGGATAATTGGAAGTAATTTTCTAAAACATGATATTTTAGTGGGACAATTGTTAGTATAGTTAAGGATAATTTTTAGAAATCAATAATAATATAAGTCATGTATTTTGATGATAAGACTACTATTTATACATTTTAAAAATTATTATTATTATTATTAATTATTTACTTTAGTGTTAATTAATATTGAAGAACTATTTTATAATAATAATTTGTAACTTTTTTATTTTTTTGGAATTATTATTGTAATATAAATTTAAAAACATAGAATTTTTCCTTTTTTTCTATTTCTTATTCCATCTACCAGACATCATTCCATCATCTCTCAATTTAAGTTAATTTTTAATAAAACATGAATATTATAGTTTTTAAATTTAAATTAATTATACAATCAAATATTTAATAAAAAGTATAATTAATTTAAATTATAGTAGGGAACAGTAAGAAGAGATGTGATCTAATTTTATGGTGTGGTTTGAAGATGATGGAGAAATAAAATATGAAACATAAAAATGTAATAAAAAAGTTCTAGTTTTTTATCGTGTAGTTCTCGCTAAAAACTTGGAACAATTTGAGAGACTAGAACTCTCTCTTTTCTATATAAATTTGATAAAAGTGGGATAATTTTTTATAATTTTCCCAATTCTACTTTTTATCTCATTCTTATTAACTAACACTATATAATTTTATCCTAGTTCTAGTTCTAATGGACTAACACTATAAAAAATTGTCCCACAAATTATCCCAGTTCTAATTTTGAGTTCTAATTGACTAACTCCACCGTAACCTTAACAACTAACCCGTAACCTTAACAATCAATGCATAACCTTTACAACCAACTATTATCCTTAACAACGAATATTCTAAAAATACAAAAAGAATAAAAAATAAAAATAATAAAATAATAATCCTCTTCAATCATTTCAATATCATCAAAGTAACATCATGATAGAGAGAGAGAGAGAGAGAGAGAGAGAGAGAGAGAGAGAGAGAGGATTCACAACCTTCACAATTGACCCGTAATATTAACAATTAAATCGTAACCTTAACAATTAACCCGTGACTTTAATAATCTCCCAATACAAACAACAAAAATAATAAAAAATAAAAATAATAAAATAATCTTTATTAATCATTTCAACTATCATCTTAGTACATCATGATAAAAAGAGAGAGAAAACAAAAATAATAAAATAATTCTCATCATATTTTAATAAAAAAAAGAGAGAGAAGGGTATTATGGTCTTCACATATTTTAATCTCTTGGGTTTTGTGTTTTGGGCACATATTTTAATCTCTTGGGTTTTGTGTTTTGGGGGCTTAGAGAACAGAATCTTTATTTTTGGGGGTAAAACACCCATTGACAAAGTCTTGGGGGGTGGGAAGCACATTTCCTTGGCTTTTGGGGGCTGGAAGCATTTTTCCCTTATATTAATTAATCTATCATTAACAAACTAATGATGTAAATAAAATAATTAAAACTTAACATTTTTTGTATAAAAATTATACCTTTAGAACCGTCTCGCCGAAACCTTTTAAACGAGATTAATATTGAATATTTTTAGAGTCATTTTTAAATTAGTTTATTTTAATATAATAAAATAAAAATATTCATTAATAAAACAAATATGTGGGGATCTATATAACCCGTCGCAATGGAACTACATTCAGAAATACAGAAATTACATTATATAAGTAAAATACGGTAACAACAATCTAAAATTTCGGTAGGTCATTTCCATAGCTACTGGTGACGTACTAATACCCTGACGGACCCCAATACCCAGTTCCTCCTAAAACATGAGTTGAACTATCAAATTGAAAATCACCGCTATTTCTTCTAATGATTTGTTGTTTTTTCCTCTCAAAAAATACAGGTTCCCTTACATCAACAATCTTACTCAAATCAATTGATAGTATTTCTCTATCCTCACGATCACGCTCAAGATGAAATTGCTCACGCTGTTGAGCCAAGAGTTGATCGCGCTGTTCTAATTGTACAACCCGTTGATCTAACCTTTTCTTATCATTTTCTAATTTCATCATCATTAGTTGTTGCATGGTTTCCCTTCCAAGCTCACGTTTTTCCTGCATTTCTTTGATATTCTTAAGAATATCAACATTACACTCAGATGGGGAGAGGATCTTGCTCTTCACATTTTTCTCCTTTGTTCCAACGAGTCGACTTGATGAGTTGTTGGCAGGAGATTGTTCATCACCCATCAGATTAATGGAGTCCATTGAGTTCGACTCTGATCCTTCGGCATTTGAGATGGTTCCAGACACGGTCATCTTTGAAGGTGTATGGTCAGCCCACTTCTCAGTATCCTTTAGAATATGCCTAATGTGTTCATATTGAAACTCTTTCTTATCTTTAGATTCTTGCTCATACAGAGCTTTAGCTTTAATAATCTAATATAAAAAAAGTTAGAAATTTTTAGAATAACAAAATATGATAAATTTAAAGTTAGATACTTACTATATCCAATTCAGAAGCACCACTTGGATTAAGCCGCTCGATCTGTCGAATGCAACCCTTGAACTTATTTATGACTTTCATAATTAAGTCCCAACGACTTTCAAGTGATCTTTGGCTCCTTTGTTCTCCGCCAAAATCTTTTACATTCTAATGATAAAGAGTTGTGATCCTCACCCACATTGTTTGGTGCTGGACCATCTTCTTCAAGTGATATTTGGCTCCTTTCTTAACATATCCAAAATGAACTTTGGTGCTGGACCATCTTCTGAAATTTAGGGCTCCTCATTTTCTTCTTCCAATAGTGAAACCCTTGATTTCTACTTTAAAGATTGGGTGCATGAACTATCAGAGACGAAGGAGGAGGAGGAAATCTTAAAACAACTGCATGCTTGTCTTCAAGCGAACGAGTGTACAAAACGAAGAGGATCGATTCCTGGCCATGTGATGATCAATCGTGGAAGAGAAGAAGGTAACTCTAGACTTTGCAATGATTACTTTTCTGAGACTCCCACATATGGAGAGAGTCTATTTTTCGTAGAAGATTTAGATGTCGTAAGAATCTATTCATTCTCACTGTCAATAGAGTAGCAGATCATGACAACTTCTTCATGCAGAAGAGAGATGCAACCGGTAAATTAGGTTTATCTACCTTGCAAAAAGTAATAGCTGCACACCGTATTCTAGCGTATGGAACATCTGTAGATGCAACCGAAGAATATATTAGGATTGGTGAGTCGACAACAAAAGAATGTCTGAAGAGATTTTGTCGATCTGTTATAGAGGTTTTTGGAGAAGAATATCTAAGGCACCCTACTACGGGCGATATTACATGTTTGCTAAAGAAAGGTGAAGAGAGAGGGTTCCCGGGAATGTTAGGTAGTTCAGATTGTATACACTGAAAATGAAAAAATTGTCCAACTGCTTGGGCAGGACAATACTCAGGACGTCAAGGAAAGCCAATTATTTTAGAAGCAGTAGCGTCATATGATTTATAGATATGACATGCTTATTTTGGATTGCCAGGATCCAACAATGATATTAATGTGTTACAATCATCAAATTTATTTGATAAACTTGCACATGGTATTGCGCCTCCTGCTAATTACACTATCTTTGGAAAAGATTATGATACATGTTACTATTTGGCCGATGGGATATATCCCAAATGGCCCACTCTTGTGCAAACTATAGCCCAACCCCAAGGACCAAAGAAGCAGTACTTTGCAGCCATGCAAGAAGGATATCGAAAGGATATGGAGCGGGCATTTGGCGTACTTCAAGTATGCTTTGCCATCATCAAAGGATCAGCACGTTTTTAGGATAAACGAGTGCTACATGACATCATGACTGCTTGGCTTTGCCATCATCAAAGGATCAGCACGTTTTTAGGATAAACGAGTGCTACATGACATCATGACTGCTTGTGTAATACTACACAATATGATTGTGTTTTTAGGATAAACGAGTGCTACATGACATCATGACTGCTTGTGTAATACTACACAATATGATTGTGGTGGATGAACGTGAAGAAGAACTAGATAATGTTGATTCAACTTAACCTTCAAATGCTGACGAGATGGATGACGATGAAAGATTAAGACGATTCCTCGCTCGACATAGGAAAATCCAAGATCGGGAGGCTCACTTTGAACTTCGGGATGCACTCATTGAACATTTGTGGCAGAGACATGGTAATGGAATAATGTAATTTTTTTTAAGCTTGATGTATTTTAAATTCTCCATACTTCAACATTTCATAATGATAAATTTGAAATTAATATTAAAAGTATTAAATATTAGTCTTATTTTGAAGGTTTGGGCAAGACAATTTCAATGATATAATTTTTATTTAAAATAGACGAGTAAATTAAAAATTATATTAAGTTAAATAATTAGTTTATTATATTCAAGGATACAACTGGTATTTATGAAAAGTTATAAATGAGATGGGAGTGTAAAATTGGAATTAAAATATATGAATATTGTTTTAGAGGGATCCCTCTATATGAGCCCAAATCCTTCAAATACGAAGGGTTACTGTAGCACCCTCTTAATATAGAGGGTGCTACAGTTCACCCAAATCCTTCAAATATAGAGGGTTACAACTGTTAGATCTAATAAAAACTCGAGATTTAAAACCATAAAGCCATGATTAATTCGAAGAGATTAACAATAATCAAAAGAGCGGAAGCTTATACCTGAATCCATAGATGAAACCTGAGATGAGTTTTGGATCTTCTAACCTTAGGGTTTCTCTATAGCCGAATTTCTCTCTAGATGGGGGTGAAGAGAATTAGAGAATATAACCCTAGATTAGGGACCATAACCCCTTATTTATAGATGTTGTAAATTTACAATTTGGCCCCTCAACAAATCACAATTACAACCTGGTATCTGCACATATAACCCCATGACTTATTTAAATACCCATTAACCCAACTTAATTGATCACTTTAGTGGGTTATCCTAAAAGATAGCAATACATATTGATTAATCATATGTGCCCACAAATAGATTTATTAGATTAAATCCAACAATCTCCCACTTGGACACCATATGATTCCTTAAATTGTGTATAACCTTATGAGCTCAAAAATTGCTATCACTGAAAAGGTATTTCCGAACAATCTCGTCCATTGACTATATCAATATAGGATCAAAGCGGCCTTCATCACATTTATCGTGACTCGACCCATCAATGGTCACATATACCAATACAATCAAACGACATAGATCAATCATGGATGTACAACATGAAAATTACATGCAATGTGATCAGTACATGTCTATTTTCAACTGGTCCTACTTTAGTGAGGTCAAAACCAAACATAATGTAACAGAATGTCTTAACTGAATACTTTATTCTGATCAGACAATACAACCAAACATAAAGCATCACAATTACAAACTCCCACTAAAACATAATATCCTCAAATAATACCACACCCATATGAGCAGTATGCTCATGAAAGACCTTGGGTGACAATCCCTTAGTAAGAGGACCAGCTATCATGGAGTTTGTCCCAATGTACTCTATAGATATTTGTCCACTCTGTACCCTTTCTTTCACAACCAGGAACTTAATGTCAATATGTTTTGATTTAGTTGAGCTCATGTTGTTATTAGAATACATTACTGCAGATTTATTGTCACAATATAACCTTAGTGGTCTTTCCATATTTTCCAAAATGCGCAGTCCCGTGACAAAATTTCGCAGCCATATTCCCTGATTGGATGCCTCATAGAAAGCTACAAATTCTGCTGCCATAGTGGAGGAAGCTACTAGTGTTTGTTTGACACTTTTCCATGATATAGCTCCTCCTGCTAACATATAAATGTAGCCTGATGTAGACTTCCTGCTATCTTGGCATCCAGCAAAATCAGAGTCCGAATACCCAATGACCTCTAATTTCTCTGATTTTCTGTATGTGAGCATGTAATCTTTTGTTTTCTGAAGATACCTCATAACCCTTTTGACTGCTATCCAATGATCCATACCAGGGTTGCTTAAGTATCTGCCTAACATCCCAACAATGTACGCAATATCCGGACGCGTACATACCTGAGCATACATTAGACTTCCTACAGCCGAAGCATAAGGAATCTTCTGCATTTCCTGAATTTCAAGGTTACCTTTAGGGCACTGATTGAGACTAAACTTGTCTCCTTTAGCAACAGGGGTGTCACCTGGTCTGCAATCTTGCATGCCAAACCTTTTAAGTACCTTATCGATATAGCTCTTTTGTGATAATCTAAGAATATCCCGAGAGCGATCTCGATGTATCTGGATCCCTAATTTAAAAGAGGCGTCCCCAAGATCTTTCATCTCAAAATTCTTTGATAGAAATCTCTTGGTTTCGTGCAACATGCCTATATCATTAGTGGCAAGCAAGATGTCATCCACATACAGAACCAGAAAAATATACTTACTCCCACTGAACTTGTGATATACACAGTCATCAACAATGTTCATCTCAAAACCGAACGAGATAACTATTTGTTGAAACTTATGATACCATTGACGAGGAGCTTGCTTGAGTCCATAGATAGATTTCCTTAATTTGCAGACCATATTCTTTGGGTCTCCTGACATAAAGTTTTCTGGTTGCACCATATAGATCATCTCATCAATGTCGCCATTGAGAAATACAGTCTTAACATCCATCTGATGTAACTCAAGATCATAATGAGCAACAAGTGTCATGATTGTTCTGAAAGAGTCTTTCGATGAAACCGGAGAGAAAGTCTCTGTATAATCAATGCCTTCCTTTTGAGTATAGCCTTTAGCCACAAGACGTGCCTTATACCTCTCCACATTACCGTTTGTATCCCGCTTGGTTTTAAAAATCCATTTACAACCAATTGGTTTTGCACCTTCTGGTAACGAGACAAGTTCCCAAACCTTATTGTCTTGCATAGACTTGTACTCTTCATTCATGGCATCAATCCACTGTTGAGAGTTAGAACTTTTCATGGCCTGAAGAAAGTTGATTGGATCATCTTCCAACATTCCATTACTTTCCTCATGTTCTTGGAGAAATACAATATAATCATCCGGAATAGCATTTCTCCTTTTTCTCGTGGATCTCCTTAATGGCACTGGTTCTTGAGGTTGTTGAGTTTGTTCTTCTGGAACAGGGAGTTGTTTAACATTGTCATCTTCAGGTTCCGGATTTACTTCTTGAGCAACAACAGATATAGGAACCTGAATATTGTCAAAAGTAACTGAATGGATTGGGTCTGAAGCCAATTCCTCCTCAAAAGCAATGTCTCTAACCTTATTTCTCCCCCCAAACTCAACATCCTCAAAGAATGTTGTTGTTCCCGTCTCAAAAATATTCCTTAGTGTGGGATCATAAAACTTATAGCCACTAGAGCGTTCAAAGTACCCAATAAAGTAGCTGCTAACTGTTTTGGAGTCCAATTTATTTTTATTTGCCTATAAGGCCTTGCCTCAGTTGGACATCCCCAAATATGTAAGTGCTTTAAACCGGGCTTTCGACCAGTCCAAAGCTCATAAGGTGTTTTAGCAATTGCTTTACTTGGTACTCTGTTCAGAATGTAAGCTGCTGTCTTAAGTTCTTCTTTCCAGAGAGACTTTGGTAAAGAAGAATGAGAGATCATACTTCTTACCATATCCTTAAGAGTCCTATTTCGTCTTTCAGCTACACCATTCATGCTAGGTGAACCCGGCATGGTGTACTGTGGGACGATACCACATTCCTCTAGGTATCTAGCAAATGGTTCTGGACGTTGTTCACCTGAACCATCATATCTGCCGTAGTACTCACCACCACGATCAGATCTAACGGTTTTAATTCTTCTGTTGAGTTGATTCTCAACTTCAGCTTTATAGGTTTTGAACATGTCCAGAGACTCAGATTTTTTATGAATGAGATATAGGTACCCATAACGTGAGTAATCGTCTATGAATGATATAAAATATTGTTGACCATTCTAGGATTCCGTAGGGAATGACCCACAAATATCCGTATGTATCAATTCTAAGACATCCGAAGATCTGTTGGCACCTAATCTCTTAACTTTGGTCTGTTTTCCCTTGATACATTCAACACATACGTCGAAGTCCGAAAAATCAAGGGAATCCAAAATGCCATCAGACACAAGACGCTCAATTCTACCTTTTGAGATATGACCCAAGCGCTTATGCCATAATGACGCTGAATTTTCCTTATTTAATTTACGCTTAGTACCACGCGATTCCGCATGCAAAGTTTCATTATAAGAAGTAATTGTATCAAGCAAATATAGGTTGTCATAAGTACTCAAGTAACCGGTTCCCACAACATTTGAATTAAAAGATAAACTGAATTGACTGTTTCCAAATGAATAAGAATAACCTGATTTGTCCAATACAGAAACAGAAATTAAATTCCGTCTAAAAGACGGTACTATAAAAGTATCTTTCAAATCCAAATAAGAACTAGTTCCTAATAGCAACCTAAAATGCCCAATTGCTTCCACATCTACCGATTGACCATCGCCCACAAAGATGTGTCTTTCAACATCACTTGGCTTTCGGTAGCTCAGGCAACCCTGCATAGAAACACTTATATGAGTAGTAGCACCAGAGTCTAACCACCAAGTGTTTCTAGGTACTGAAGCTAAATTAACCTCAGAACAGACCAAAGCAAGGAACGTACCCTTATTATCACGCCAGGCGTGATATTTTGTACAGTCCTTCTTTACATGTCCAGGCTTCTTACAGAAGAAACAACCCTGATTATCCTTATGTTGTTTCTTCTCAACTGGACCCTTAGTAGCTTCATTATCATTCTTTCTTTTCTTGCCCTTATCCTTAGAGGCATAGGCCAAATGAGCACTTTTCGTCTTATCTTGCTTCAACCTGTCTTCTTCTTGCACACAGTATGAAATGAGCTCATTTAGAGTCCATTTCTCCTTTTGGCAGTTATAACTGACTTTAAACTGATTGAATTATGCAGGAAGAGACAACAAAACCAGATGCACTAATAACTCGTCACAAAGATCGAGTTTAAGTGCCTTAAGCTTTGAAGCAATATGAGACATTTCCATAATGTACTCCCTAATATTTCCTTTGCCCTTATACTTCATTGAAATCAAGCGAGCTAAGAGCGTGCTTGTTTCTACCTTATCGTTTTTCACAAAACGCTTCTCAATTTCGGCAAGGAAATCTTTAGCCTTAGTAATCCCTTCGGATTCTATGCCCCTGAAGGCTTCCGGAACGCCGCGCTTAATGATCATAAGACTCATGCGATTTGAACGCTCCCACTTCTCATGCTCCTTCTTTGCATCAGGAGTGCTATCCGCATTGAGAGGTTGGGGTTGTTCAGTTCTTAATGCATAGTCAAGATCCATGCAGCCAAGAACAATTAATATGTTCTCTTTCCAAACCTTGAAGTTTGTCCCATTTAGCATGGGAATTGAGTTGATGTTAGCAGAAATTGTTGCAGCAGATGCATTAGCTGAAATAAAACAACAAATGCTCACATCAATAACCATAATCAATAAAATTCAAATAATGACAATCCCCATCCAAGATACCGGCACAACATTAATATCAAGTCTTTGGACAGTAATATTAACTTGTAAGTGATACCTTGTTGCAATGATCAAACATTGACAATAACTCATGTCAAATAATGAAACTATCTTTGGATCGATTCATTATTCACATGTAAACCTTATAATTGTCACACGCTTATCATCGCAGATGTGTATACAGTCTAAATAAATATTAACCTTCCTTTGGGCCGATTAAATATTTACACGAAAGCATACACACAAACATCTCACATTCCTCATGAACAATCTACACAAGAGAGGTTACTTTGGCAACTTCTTGTTTCAATTAATCAATTGGAGTGAGAGACAACCTTAATACCTTAGTGTCATAATATTTGAATTGAAGTTCGCTTGACTTCGAACGCGAGGTTCGACTGTATTGAGTACGAGTCTCACTTAAGCACGAACACGAGGTTCGTCTGAAAATGAACGTGATGTTCAACTTGAGAACGAACGCGAGGTTCGTTTGAATATTGAACGCGAGGTTCGACTGAAACCGAATACAAGGTTCAACTTGAGAACGAACGCGAGGTTCGTTTGAAAAATGAACGCGAGGTTCAAGTTGAGAACGAACGCGAGGTTCGTTTGGATTGAGCACAGTGCTCGCCTGAGGATGAACGCAGAGTTCGACTTGAATTGAGCGCGAGGCTCACCTAAGAATTGAGCGCGAGGCTCACCTGATAACTGAGTGCGAGGCTCACCTGATAACTGAGCGCGAGGCTCAACTTGAATTGAGCGTGAGGCTCACCTGAGAACTGAGCGCGAGGCTCAACTTGAATTGAGCACGAGGCTCACCTGAGAACTAAGCGCGAGGCTCAGCTTGAATTGAGCGCTAGGCTCACCTGAGAACTAAGCGCGAGGCTCAGCTTGAATTGAGCGCGAGGCTCACCTGAGAACGAACGCGAAGTATGTTTAAATTGAGCGCGAGGCTCACCTTAATCCTGAGCGCGAGGCTCACCTTAAGAACGAACGCGAGGTTCGTTAAAATTGAGAACGAACGCGAGGTTCGTTTGAAGCTTTCAAGCCTCGCCAAAATTTGAGGTAACCACCTCCTTAAATTTCTCCATGTGTTCACACATGAACCCTTAGGGTTTCAAACTGAAACCGCCGCCGCCATTGCTCCGGCACCCAAGAGGTCGAAACCCTAGGGTTTCCTAACGCCACCGCCGCCGTCGAGGGCGAGGCCGCCAGCGAAACTTCGCCGGCGAGGAGCACGGGACCGAAGATCAAACCCAAAAATTCTTTGATTTTTATTTTCAAATCTAGATCCAGAATCGAAAAAAAATTTCGTGATCCAGACCAAGAAAAAAAGCGAAGAAAAAATCCAAAAAGTTACTGTTCACCCGAAAACTTTTCAGCAGCCGTTACTGTTCATCCGAACATTATTGTTCATCCGAGAACAGATCTTAATCCAAAAACCAGAGATTTAAGATAAAAAAAAACCAATTTTAAAACTTAAATCCCTAAGAATTAATCAAACCTGGCTCTGATACCACTTGTTAGATCTAATAAAAACTTGAGATCTAAAACCATAAAGCCATGATTAATTCGAAGAGATTAACAATAATCAAAAGAGCGGAAGCTTATACCTGAATCCATAGATGAAACCTGAGATGAGTTTTGGATCTTCTAACCTTAGGGTTTCTCTATAGCCGAATTTCTCTCTAGATGGGGGTGAAGAGAAATAGAGAATGTAACCCTAGATTAGGGACCATAACCCCTTATTTATAGATGTTGTAAATTTGCAATTTGGCCCCTCAACAAATCACAATTACAACCTGGTATCTGCACATATAACCCCATGACTTATTTAAATACCCATTAACCCAACTTGATTGATCACTTTAGTGGGTTATCCTAAAAGATAGCAATACACATTGATTAATTATATGTGCCCACAAATAAATTTATTAGATTAAATCCAACAATAACAACATTCTTTTAATATAGAAGGTGCTACAGTTCCTCGTACGTCATTTTTAGAGGAATGATGTACCATTGGAGATGCTTAAGTCGAATTTAGACGAATAGTTGGACAAATAAATATCGAGCATAATAATTGTCCCTTCTCGTTCGTAGGGACCCTCCCTCACGCCCATTGTTAAGGCCCAAACTATGCAAAGTAAAAGCATAAAAATGGGCCACATGCTTCAACATTTCACAAACAAGCAGCCCATTAATTTTCTAAAGAAAGCTCCCAACCAAAATTTTGTGAGAAGCAAAAGCTCAAATCGAGCTCGAGCGGAGCATCATCATGTCTGCGCTGGGCGCAGCGCTCGGTCGAGGCCTGCACGCCTCAGCGCAGTCTCCTCGTCTCACCAAATTCTCCCTTCAAGCCCCTAAATCTGTAAGCTTCTCTCTGTTTTTTTTCGTTTTTTTTCTCATTTTCAAATTTTATCTCTTTTCTATGCATACCCATTTCTTAGTTTAGTTTTAGCACTAAATTACAAGATTATGAAGATTACCCACTTGATTTAAGAGGGGTTAGTGTCGGATTTCATGGGTTTTTAGTTTAATCTGTAACTGGCTTTTGCCCAATTCGACCTGTTGTTGAGCTTGCATTTTTGTTTTTGTAGAGTGAAGGGATGGATTCCAAGGATTAGATATAATGAGTGATGAATTTAAAAGGAAATAACCTGTATGATTTCTCTCATAAAATTTGTGTTTGCCCTTTTGGGATAAAAGGAGTTTGTTGTTATATGCTTTACAATTTGGTATATTTTGCCTATTTGGCTTAAACAAATCGACTTGGAAATTCACCAAAACAAACTGAGATTCATTTAAGTAATATGAGAAAGTATGTGATTTCTGTAAATTTTTGGGTAATGCTTGGAAAAGGATTAAAGTTTAGAGGTATACATACTTCGAAATCTAAAGCTTTTTCACCAATTCTATCTCCAAACCCCCAGAAAGAACACTTCTCTCTATCATTGTATATTTGTAACTAATTCACATCAACCCTCCTTCTTTGTCATTAGATACTTTATCGCAGTTGCGTAGATGGATTGTTCGATACACCTTCCACTGAATAAAAAGTTAAGTAAGTTATTACCTGATTTACTTCAACTCCTTCCTCGTCTCTATCATTGGATGTATTTAGCTAATTTACTTTAAACCCACCCATCTTATTTATCATTAGGTATTGTGCCTTAGTTGCATGCATGGTCTGCTCAGCATAGCTACAACCAAATAAGTCAAGTATTACCTATTGCATTTTAGCACCTGTGCTCTTTCTATTATCAATAACATTATTTCATGCCTTTGAATTCGAAATGTGTGCCTTTCACGACAAGCACACAGATAATACATATGTGATTTCCCAAATGATCCGAATGTTTAATGATCTTAGTGCATGCTCCCAAGTGTGGCAGTCCCCAACTTATCCAATTAAGCCTACACCATTCACACTGTTTATGATTCAAAATAGTCTACCCCGTAGCCATACCATAAACCAAAGCATACCACAAATTTGGTTACAGTAGTCAAGTCCTTTTGCAAACTTATCTGGACTGTTCTCTGTAGCCAATCCCATTTTGCTGTGGACATCTTGGAGTACAACTAGGGCACTGATGATGTCGTTTATATGAAGGATGGAGTCCATTTTCGTTACATAAGCTCTATTATTAGAAGATAACCCTGGTGCCAGCAACATCATGTTAAGGATGCTTCTCTCAATTGCTTCAAGCACTTTCTGTCTATCTCCTTTGGAGGGTATACTTTTAAATTTGTAGTGATATGGGCTCAGACAGTCATTCATTGTTTCAAACCTAAAACTTAATGAAAATAGTAATATCATGATTCTTGAACATGATTGTTTGTCGGAAAATTGCGAGAAAATTGAGAATAAGATTTGCATTAATCTCCCCAACTGACTTAGGAAACGAATGAATACAATCTCTCGATGTAATCTCTCTCTAACCGACTTAGAAAAAGAAATTATAATTTTCTCTTATCGGTTTCCCGATTTACAAAAGAGAGAAAGAATCGACAGAGATCCTTACCTTTGTTTAAACTTGGGTTCTTCTTGGTAGCGATGAGAGTTTGAATCTTGTATCCCGTTGACGATCTGAACACTTCACTTCATGGAATGTCAGTCTATTCCTCTTGATTTGACGTCGGGAAGAACTTGTGATGCAAGTTTAAAATTCTTAATGAGTTTAAGAACTCTAAACGAGTTTTAGAACTCTGTAAAAGAGTTAAATTCAGAAAGAAAATTAATCCTTTTTAACTTAACCGACAATGGTTCACAAGCCAAAACAAAAGCTCTGATCAAAGCTCTTAGCCTCTTAATAGTGCTCCAATAATCCAAAGGATGCTAAATTTCTCTCATTTTCTCCTTTTTTTTAGCTGATTTCTCAGCTATTTATAGGGGTTTAAGGGATGTAACCAACCCCTTAAATCGCTCCTTAATGGTGGCTTAGTGCCCTCATTTCGTTCAAAGTGGTTTTGGAGCTGTTTAGAACGTGTTTGAATCAGTCAAACGCCTGATTCACGTTCTGGAAATGACCCTCGCGTTTAGAATTGAAAACGCGGTAGTGAGCTCCGCATTTTGAACTTGAAACACGGTGGCGAGCTCCACGTTTTGAGCTTGGAACGCGGTGACGACCTCCTCGTTTTGAACTTGAAACGCGGTGACGACCTCCGCGTTTTGATTTGAAGAGACTATCATCTTGTAACCTCTTCTGTTAGAGTGTTCCAAGGATTGTCATCTTGTAATCTTGGCTTTTGGCTCTTTGAGATGTGAGAGACGTCAGTTCGTAATTCTCTTTTGTTGTTGAGAAAGTTATCAGATTGTAACTTCCATCGTCAATTGCTGTGATAGTCGTCAAAGTGTAACTCTTATTGATTGATATGAAAGTCGCCAGATTGTGACCTCTATCACTAGTGTTTTGTAGGGATTAGCTATCTGCAGTGATTTTTAGACAGCCTACAATGATGTACCATTCATTCAATTGATAGATATTATTTTGTAATTTGTTGAACAATTATCTGTACTAAAAGTTTTGGCATGTGGGCGTAGTATACGCTATAGTTGACATCTTTACATCCACATTCATAAATATGTGCACTTTCTGTTATCTCAAAAATATGCATGACACACTTGTCACTCCTGTTTCTGAGAGTTATTGTCCTGCATTGATCATCTATAGATTCTCTCTTTTATGGTCATTCATATATCAATAATACACCTTATGTATGTATACTATATATTTTAGAAACTAATGCATGTGTCTTGATTTTGAAGAATTGCTATCTGACAACCTATATATGGTAATATCTTAGTTGTTATACATATAATCTGTAGGGAACCTCCAAATTTGGTATACCTAATACTTTCCTGTCTATTCAGAAGACATCCTTCGGAGGTTTTACATGCAATTTCATAATTCTTTTTACTAAGTAGTTGACAATTTTAAGAAGGAAGCATCATTACTTCTATTAAATTTAACTTGATCCATATTGTATTACAAATCACATATGCATTTATTTTCAGGTAATGGTGGAATTTTCTGATGGTCGTGTATTTAATCTATCGGCTGAATTTCTTCGAATATATAGTCCTGCTGCAGATAGCAAGATTAGGTCAGTGGGTGGTGAAAAGGTAATACTTAATTACATATTTTCGTTGGCTTACTGCATAGAAAGTTTATCCTTGTTATTTTCTTTTGCAAACTATTTTCATACCTGATCAGATTAATTTCTATTAAGTGGGTGATACAAGTGAAAACACAAAGAATTGAAAAACAAAGAGAATTTGGAGGCTATACAAGTAAAAAGATGGTTTTATGATTTTTTTTCAAGAAATTGGTACTATGTCGATGTTGCATCTATGAATGGGACTAAGATTGGTTTTTGTAGACTGATGGTGATTCAAATTTATTTAGAATTTACCTAAACATTTGAAATATATAAAGAGATTAATGGGTATCCTTGTCATAGGAGGGGATTTCCTCCTTGACGCCTCTAAAATCATATGATTGAGCGACATTATGGATGATCCGCTCCGTTGAACTTGATCTACATATTCTAAAACCCCAACACACCAAGTTTGGGGTGAATCCGTCGTCGTTTGACCCTCCATCGAGCCATGTGAAAAGTTCTATTCATTCAAAACCGTTAAAATTGATACGAGTGGATGAAGGGTCAAACGACGACGGGTTCACCCCAAACTTGGTATGTTGGGTTTTTAGAATATGTAGATCAAGTTCAACGGAGCGGATCATCCACAATGTCGCTTAATCACGTGATTTTAGAGCCGTCAAGGAGGAAATCCCCTCCTATGACAAGGATACCCATTAATCTCATATATAAATACTTATGTGTATCAGAGTCCATCATAATGAAATACTCGCACAGACATAATGCTGAAAATATTTCATGTCCAACCTGATCAGATTAACTTCAATGAACCAGGTGATATTTGGACGAAGACATGTTGGTATCATGTCAGCAACACCAATAGGAAACTATGGAGTCAGGTGACCAGATGTGAACTAAAAACTTGTTCGCCTCTTTTATATTCATTATCTTCTACTATAAACTTGGTTATTATTTTCCAGAATAGATTTTGATGACTTGCACAAGACTGGGATTTACACATGGGACTACTTCTACAATCTGGGCTCCAACAAGTTTACCCTGATGAGAAACTATATCAAAACCCTGAGGAAACATGGCCTTAGCCGAGACCCTCAGAGAAGGAAACCAAATGAGAGCAAAGGCGGAGAAAAAAGTGTTTAAATGCTTTTAGAAGTTTACTCGGAGATCGTCACAGGCATGAATTTTATGCTGCGAAACTTGGTGAACAGAATGCAGATGGAATAATTTTCAGGCCCAATGTATGTCATCGTGTTCTTTGTTGTAATCCTTATTGTTGTTTTGTATGAATCAATAGAAAATTTTGCAATTTGAAGATCCTTTATAGAATCTGATCTTTGCCGTGAATTTGCCTCTATGACGTCTCTTTACTTTTTAAGAACAATATCAGTAATAGGGCGGTTTGATAATTTGTTTTACAACATTTAAATTAGAAATGACTTGCTAACCACAATCAAATATGTGAGCTGTTAGTTTTGCTAACCACAACCTTAATCTATTATTTCAATCCATTCAGGCCCTATGGTTTTAGTTTTGATTCTATTTAGCTCCATGATGGTTCTTCATAACTAAGGAAGGGTATTTTTATCTTATTGAAATTATTCTCATTAACAAACAGCCAATCAGAGAGATTCTAAGTAAAAAATAACCAAAAACAAAAGAAAATTTACCTCAAGTGAGGATATCAGACTTGCGACTGCACGAGTGAAAATAAACAAGACCATTTCCCCCTAGTAATCTTCCCCAATTATGATCAAGGGATTATAAATATCTCATGTGAGTTGTATGCGACTATTTTTGCAATAATCCAAGTTTAGCCTAACCAGTATTTTGATTTTGGTAGTGTTTTGGGTGTTAAACCACCAATGGGGCTAACTAGAATCAAAACCAAAATCACGGGGGCTTAATAGGTTGAAATAATAGATCGAGGGCTTATCTGAATTTGAGTTCAAAAGACTCACATCCGTTTACTAGTTTACCGCAAAAAAGAGAAGAAGACATTCCAAAATATCCAGAAAACCATTTAGTTCTGAAAAACAAATGGAGGAGTATAATTTTGCTTTGAACGGTTGTTACTTGCAGTTCTTTCCCATATCACGGAATGTTAAGCTCTTTAGCAGATGTTATGATATTGACAATACCACAGCCACAGATGAACTCACGATGCTCTTAACAAAGTACAGATTTAAAACATCTACAGTTTGAAACATATAACCCACTGGAGTAAATAAAAGCAGGAGCTATGTTGTATGTTTAATTTTAAAGAAATGCATCCCTTCACAAATCTCTCCCCTCAGTAGAAGTACATGAATTCAAGAAAATTCATAAAAAGCTGCAAAATTTTGGCTGTTCTCACATTCTTCTCGGTCAATGATTAATTCCTCCTAGAATCCTGCCAGTAACAATTTTTTCCCCCTTAAAAAAAAGTTCAGTATACTTTCTCCAATAGTACGTAAGGTCTGACCAGCAAGTGAAGAATCCACCATCTTGTGGTCACCCTCAACTCAGCTTCTAACTGTTCTAGGCTCTTTGATTCAGGCACTTTTTTCGTTTTCATCGTACTAAAACATAAGTTTTAATCCAGCGTTGGTCTATCATTACCCTCTATTGTACAAAGTAAGATCAGCATATAGAGATTCTGATCATGCATCTGAAGAACCAACATCAAACTTTTTGCGTCTACTAGCCTTCATCCTCGGACCCTCATGTCTCTGCCTTGCGAACCCCATCGAGATAACAGCCAAGAAACCTAACACAGAGAGAGCCCAGAGTCCAATCATCCAAACCCTTGGGGACTTATGCTCATTGCTCGATCCAAGAACAGATGACGCATTAGATACATCTATTGGGACAAATATCTTTCTTGATGGATGAAATCTTTCGGGAGTGTTCATTTTGGTAAGGGAATCCAGAGAGGGGCATTTCCTTTGATGGTGGAGAAAGAGAGCTCTGTTCAGTGCTTTGCCACATTCAATGCTCAAAAGATCTCTTTGTCGGTTATTTTCATCATCTGTATCAGAGATCATAGAAGGATCAGGAGGTTCCGGAAACTTCGCCCAGCATGTATTTACCATGTCAGTATTTCTCCAGTCAGCTTTATCGAAGCTCCAGTTTCCAACGCCGAATCTCAAGCCATAATGGAAGACACGGTATTTGACTCCATGCTCAGGAATATAACCAGGATAAATTAATATGTCGCTTTTTACGACATGCCTGAGATTTAACTGCATGAAGAATTTGTCACATGTTAGCTACAAGACTGGCATCGCTATTAGAAATATCATTATATCCTCAGTATAAACTTCAGGAGTTCTATTGATATTATGCCCACATGAACTGATAAATTTCTAATTTCTAATAGTTCTGAGTTGTCTAAATTTAGGTTCTTTTTTTTAGAGGATTATTTTTCTTGCTATAGGGTTTAAAGGAGATTTCTTTGGATATCAGACTGTTGGCATTTTTTCTTTTGATTTTTTACAATCAAGATCTTCACTCTGTTTACAGAGGTGGATCATTCGTGTCATTTTCAACTGGGTAAGACTTTCAAATCTAGTGGCTTTATATCGAATATTTATAAAGTGCCCAATATTCAAGTCTTTCTAACTTCAGATTTGTAAATACTAATTATCAATAATGAGTTACCTCACCCACATCTTCTTCACCGGGAGAACATTTGCGCAAGCTTGGAGTCGTTGCATAGCTAATGATATGAGTTTTCTTTTAGTACAGTTCTTGCGGTATAATTTTTATTTCTTTATCAGTCCCATAAATTGATGAAGTTGACAGACTTTTGTTTATACATGCTAGAAGTTATGTTTTGAAGTTAATGCAAAATGCCATATATAATTTGACGTCAACCAAGCAAAAAACATGTATAAGAAAATTAAACATACCTCAGCTGCACCAAAGGAGTAACCATACATTTCACTTATCCATCCAGATGAATATATATCCCCAGTATAATTAGTCCCATAATGAGCTTTGTCAGCTCGAACTTCCTCCGTCTTATGCAACCACAGTAAAGCAAACTTTCGCAGGTCATCAATGTGCATAATTATGACGCCACCGACCTTGTCACAAGCTCCCGGGTTGCGAGTGTGGATCTTTGCAAGTTCATTGTCACATCCAATTAGGTATCTAATAAAAGAAAGAAAGGTTTATCCAACACTGGTCATCTTGAACCCTAGTTATAAAATAGTTTCATTTTTTTGGCACCCCTTAATCACACATATATGCAAAACAAATCAACTTTGAAAGGTTAATTTGTAACTACAATGTAAAAATGTCAATGAAATAGTCAGATAGTTACTATGATTTGTTGATTTGAGGGATATTTTTTCCATAGTTGATGACATTTTTGTGCTTTTTTTTGGGTTGGGGGGGGGGGGGGGTTTCAACTATTGAGACTTGATGGGTAGTTTTGTAAATACACATGATATAAAGGGGTATATATAGAAAAAGAACATTCATTGTTTTCACGTCTTACCCATAGGGAGTTGAAACAGGATGACCACGTTCTGCACCATATTCCCATGGTGTTATGGGACCCCGGAGTATCATATCAGCATCTAGAATGACTATGAACTCCGCTTCTGTATCCACATGATTAAGCCAATGGAGAACAGCAGCTGGTTTATTGATTGCTGGGTACCTGCCAAGGCAAATAGAGATTATTAAAAAATGATGTTTAACTGCAGAAGTAAAATGAGTAAGAGCAGAGGAACAAAGGAAAGCAATAATAAGTAGAAACATATACGAAAAGAAAACCACACCATAAGCGGATGGATATATACATAGAAGTATAGAACTCAATCAGCTAGCTATACAATAGAAGTCCTACGTTACAAATAAAGTTATGCCTTATTGAGACAGATTTTCCTAGAACGCGAAAAGTTGTTGGATAAAGGAAAATATCCTATGTGACAAATATGTGAAATGCTAAAGAGCTTGCATCAGCAACTGAAGGGAACAATAAATTACCAATCTCCAGTGAGTGGATGTCGACTCATAGAAGGAACATAATGAGTGGGGGCCAAATCATGGCCTTTATATTTCCTCAAGTCTTCATCAGTACAACTCAGAAGGCGAGTGATATTACCCGGCTGGCCACTCAAATAGAAGCTATGTACAAGCCCTACAGTTTGCCAGTCAAAATATGGTGAGCACTCTGTCGAGAAAAGGGTATGTATTTTTGGATGTCTACTTCGTGATTCATCTGATTCCAGTTTTTGCTCAATATTCTGTCCACTACTTTGTGATTCCAGTTTTTGCTCAATATTCTGTCCACTACTTTGTGATTCCAGTTTTTGCTCAATATTCTGTCCACTACTTTGTGATTCCAGTTTTTGCTCAATATTCTGTCCACTACTTTGTGATTCCAGTTTTTGCTCAATATTCTGTCCACTACTTTGTGATTCCAGTTTTTGCTCAATATTCTGTCCAAAAATATGGTGAGCACTCTGTCGAGAAAAGGGTATGTATTTTTGGATGTCTACTTCGTGATTCATCTGATTCCAGTTTTTGCTCAATATTCTGTCCACTACTTTGTGATTCCAGTTTTTGCTCAATATTCTGTCCATTTGTTCGATGGCTATCCAAATACTTAGGCTGAGTGAGCTCTGAAAACTTTTTACTTTTCAGGAAACTTAAGTATTTGTTCCACTTTGGCTTTGGACAGCCCATGGAAACATGGTGCAGGACAAGTCCTTCATTTAAAGTGTTGATGCACTCGATGCTCAAAAATAAGCCACGTCTTGTGTTTGGATCAGCTTCCATCATGACTACCTGCAATTTTGCACATGTTAGTCAGCAAAATTATGAGGAATCACACTTCAAAATAAAGGTTGCATAAGTGACAAACAAAATGTCAAACTTAATGCTTCTTCCTACCTCTCTAGGATAAGGGGGTTCTGGAAAAAGACGGTTGCACTCATAGACTATGCCATCTTCATGGTGTTCTAACTTACTAAACGACCAGTTGCCAACATTAAATGGTAAGCCATAGTGCATGAGTATAGGCTCCACTCCAGGTCTTGGAATATAACCAGGGTAGATCATTAAATCATTAGTTATCTTGTGACGAAGGCCTACCTGTTGAAAAAAGTAGACCATGAGAAGAAAATAAATTCTTGTTATAGAGATCTTAAAATGACATAAGAAATAGGTGACAGCATAATGAAATACTATCTTCTAACCTCTGCAGCACCAAATGAATAGCCATACATCTCACTAATCCAACCCTGTCCATATATGTCACCAGTTATGTTTGTTCCCCAGTGCACACGATCCTCTCGCACCTCCTCTGTTTTGGAGAGCCACATAGGTGCTAAAGCCCTGAGGTCATCAATGTGCATGGCCAAAAGGCCACCAACCTTATCACAGAGTTCCGGATGCTTAGTGTGCAAACCCGCAAGAATATTGTCACATCCCACTAAGTACCTAAGTTGAGCATGCAAGTCATGGTAAATATAAATAAAGAAAATCAAAATTCTGAGACTTTCAACAGTTCGCAAAATGAAGTGCTAAATGTTAACTATGAAATGCACGGGTTAAAAAAACAAGTTCTTCACCAACATCATCTGATCCTAGTTCGGAGGCTGTAAGCATATGTGGGATAACCTAGATCATAGAAATGTTTTCTAATCCTGGATAATTAACTGATGGAAATTCACACAATCTGTCTCGAGAACAGTTTTGACGTGGGAGAATACATGACCTAAATTAAAGCAAAATATGACCAAAATAAGAAAGGGATAGAGCCAATCAAAGGAATTCAGGTAATGTGAGTGGACTAATTGGAACAACATCTAATTTATTTATTTTTTAAAAAGAGCACATGTTTATGCCAAAGAAGTCACAAAACTGAGAATTTAGAGCAAACCATTCTAACCTCTATGTTCTGTTCACCTATTAACGATATGAGATTGGAAGTCAACCTCAAGGTTTCCTATATAAAACACAGGAAAATGAGAAACTAAGGCTCCTATTAGAGAAGTGTATAGAATACACAGTTGCATTTGGATTAGTAGATGATGATAGTTTGACTGAGATGTCAAAACTATATTAACAATCATAAGCCTCGGGTATCTGAATCCTGAAGACCCAAGGGATGAGAAGGTAATTACTAAATGCTTGAAGATGATTCCTTTCCAGTTGGATGCCTTAAAACAGATATATTAAAATTTTGATGTCAACAGGATATTCATACCCATAGAATGCAGCTACAGGCTTTCCTTTCTCTGCTCCAAGTTCCCATGGAATGATTGGACCCCTAATAATCATATCCGCATCCAATATTACAACCCAATCAACATTTTCTGCATCTTTACTATGTTTAAGCCAATGCACTACACCTGCTGGCTTGTTGATGGCGGGGTACCTGAAGGAAATCGAAAAGGAAATTGCTGGTAATCATGGCTGATGAAGAAGTCATTAGAAAATAACAAGAACATGACAGCAAGTCCAAGAAAAAGAGAAGGAAGAACTGAGATATACAACATAAGTTTTACGATAAAATGCACATGCTCAGGAAATTTAATATGCAAGTTTGGTAACTATACACACAACAAGGAGTGTAAATACCTTTAGGAAAAATGAAGAGGCTGAGTGTTGAAATCCAGACAAAAAAAAAAAAAAAGAAACACATCAATGATACATTAGGAAAACATCAGGGAAAATGTACAAGAGTTGAGCAAAAATATTGCATACAAACCTTCAAACAAAATGAATTAGTATCAAGATGTAAATAGTTCTAAACATAATGGAAAGTATTAGAAGAAATCTGATCAAGAAAGAAATCATCCTACTACAACATTGAGGGTGTTCATGAGAGCCAAGAAGCAGTCCTTGAGGGAATATGCAACACTAGAGGGAACTGCAGCAGTAGTTTCTGGAAGGACCCCTTGTAAGGTTAAGGCTCTCTAAAAGCCAGCAAGTTCCTATGTTCTTGTGCAGAAACTCGACATTTAGAGGAGGCCGCCTTTAAGATGAAACGGCAGGTCCAAACTCCAGCTTCTTCTATCATTTCAGTATTGAGACGGTGAAGCTTTTGTGAATTTAGTTGTACATTTGCATTAAGGACTTAAAAGGAGGGGAAATCTAGGCTCAGCTCAATCCTATGGAGTATGACAAGAAATCTGAAGATAAATCATACCATAGGGGATCTAGGCCATTTATCACAGGTATTTGAATTATGAACTTGTACATGTGAGACACTCCTCAAATATTTGTCAGACATTTCTTAAACATGTCCTTAACTATAGCGTACATGTTCTAATTTAGAACCCTTTTTAAGCACTTCCTAGACATCTGTCCTACATTTCTCACGCACTTGCTTTATTCACATTATACGTAAATTTTAGAAATAATTTCCATGCTCAAGTGCATGCACATATCTATGAATGCATATCCAAACAAGGTTACCAACTCTATATGGATACGCACACATACATACACGCCTACATATATGCAGATATTACAGTGTCATGTCAACATATCCCCATATCCTGCTGAGTAAGAATTACCTTGACCCGTTTCCATGTTTGGTTGTACCCTATGTTTCATCTTCACGTCCATTGTTCTTAATTTTCAGATCAGGACACAATTAAAGGGTATAAAGTGAATGTAGGAGAGGGAAAAAAAACATATTAAGAAAGAAGCAGCCTATGGAATAAAAACGAAACATAATGAACTATCCCATCCCCTGTTGAGAGTTTTTTGTACTCTGCTGGTGATTAAGTGGGTATTATGTAAGAAATTTAACACACAAAAAATTGCATATGTTTCTTTCAAAGTTCAAGTTTTTCAGCTTCTTAATATTAAACACCACATCCATTCCATAAATAGCATTTTCTAATCCTAAATAGCTTTCCAGCAGCCCAGTTACCTTCTGTGACGAAAATCATCTAGCAAAAATTTAAACATGCGAATCGAAAGACACATTCCTTTGCTCTGATCAATCAACACCACTCTCCAATGGAGTCATTCATGCATGCAACACATTTCAAGCATACCCAACAAAAAACCGACATTTCTCTCAAAATTCAGCACCAAGCCCAATTAAAACAAGCTCAAAACCTAAAACAAGGGTCAAAACTGACCAGTCTCCAGTCCGTGGATGCCTGCTCATAGAAGGCACCTCAAATGTTGGAGCCAAGCCCATTCCTTTATACCTTCTCTTCTCCTCCTCAGTACAACTCAGTAACCTAGTAATGGGCCCAGGCTGCTGGGCTTTCTTGAAACTGTGCACTAAGCCCACAGTTTGCCAATCAAAGTAATTCTGGCACTCCACAGAGAAGAGAGTGTGAATCCTCCATGGAGCTTTCTGGGCTTCTCCCTCTTCAGCCAAAACCACCACCAGCGACGAGAACAGCAAGGCCATGGCCATGGCCTCCATGGATTTTGCCGGTGAAGATGGTGAATTCGCTGAAATCGCCATCTGGGTCGGTGTGATTTTGGGTGGAGAGATCTAAATTACATGGGTTTTGAGGAGAAGAGGGGAGACTGGGTGATGGGTTAAAACTGGGATCTTTCTTCGTTTTGTTTGATTTCGGTTTTTGATTTGTTTTTGCGGTTGTTGGGTTTTGAAGGTAATATGGTACATTAAGAAATGGGAAGTTGATGGGGGAGGAGGAGTTTGGGTTGAGGTTTAATTGATGACAGCATGGACAATTTGACTTCTTTTTTATTTTTCGTTAAACTATACAGGGTTTTGCTCATTATTTTCTTGATTAATTTTGGATAAGAACCTTGGGTTTAGGGGTGAGCACGGTTCGGTTCAAATAGAAAAAACCGACCGAACCGACCCGAACCGACCCGAAAAAAGCGGTTTTATGAGTAAGACGGTTCGGGTCGGGTTGACAATTTTTCAAACCGACCCGACCCGAACAAACCGAATATATTCCCTTGCCTCAAACCCTACCCGTTTACCCAAAGACAAAACAAGCTCGCTACTAAAAAATTACAACGTCAGACTCTAGTATTTAATCCAAAAGGACAAGTTACTTTACTTAAAAACAGTATACATACATGAGCAAGAATAATAAATTGAAGTGAAGTTAAAAAATAAATACATGCTGGCATAGGGTAATAAGAATATATAAAAGATAAATTGAAATGAAGTTATACTTGATGAAGTTAGAACCGAACAAACCGAACCGAACCGCACCGAACCGATTTGCAATGGTTCGGTTCGGTTTTGAATTATAGGTGGTTCGGTTCGGTTGTTCAAATTTTGGTAAAAACCGACCCGAACCGAACCATGCTCACCCCTACTTGGGTTCTTGCCAGAGTTATGCATAATTACAAAATAGAACATGGTTTTGACTTGGTGTATGTTTCAATAATTGCCCATATAGAATCTTGTGAAATATATCCATGTGATGTCACATTACAATGTTTGAGGACATACTAGATTTTGAATTGAATTTAGACTTTTCCACGTGAGCAAAAAGTAAATAAAAGTAAATATAGGTGAATAATAAAAGTTAAAGTGCAAAAAGAAAGCGCAAGAGAATAGAACAGAATGAACAATGACTTTTCTTATTGTTTGTTATTAGATTCTTGCTAGAATTGTTTTTATTATTTACTTGGAGTTTTGATATAGTTCTCCTTACCTTTTGTGCTAATTAAAGATGAGTAGCTTAGGTGATTGAATGCAGTCCCAAACTAGAAGTTGCGTTCATCTTTCGGATATATTCCAGTAGTTTAAAAATGTTGACAAAATATTTTCACATGCTATTTGTGAAACTATTCTAGAGCTAAAATTAGCCATAATATTTAAAAAAAAATAAACTGGAAGATTATTAATAAGTACCATAAAAAATGGAGCATAGAAGAGGAGAAGAGGATTACTAATGCACTTGACTTGAGAATAGAAGAAAAGGTTAATTGTATATACACCCTCTTTATTATGCATATGTCGGATATTTTATTACTTCCGAACCATTTTGTAAGTGCAAAAAGAACCTGGCTCCTGTGGGTTTAAGGGTGGGGACAGAATCCCGGGGTTTTACTGGTCACTCAGGCTCAGCCCGTTATATGCTCACCAGGTCGCGTCCTTGTGGTCCACTGCCTGTTCGCTCACACTGTGGGGATGAGCCCCTGATAGCCAGGGTAGCTCTTTGCAGGAAATTGGGGACCACGGGGAATCGATCAAGGGCCGCTGGCAGGACTCCCAAAGGGAGTAAAATTGAGCTGGGTGACCAGGTTTCCTTTGCCAGCAAAAAAAAAAAAAGAATAAAATTTTCTTTCACACCATCTCTCATCTCAAGTATTTCTCCAAAATAGTGATGATTCACATTAAAAGTCCATCATTAAAAACTACATCAAATTCTTTTCGTACAGACATAAATACGCATCAATTAACATCAAATATTTTCTCCTTAACAGAAACAAACTGAATCAACTCCAAACACATGCCAAATTGAATCAAAAAATTTCTCCCTCAACAGAAACAAACCGAATCAACTCCTCATCTCTCTCAACCATCTCCATTTCCCGCCTCTCCAACCACAACCAAACCTCAACCCCCTCCCCATCCTTTGCATCCATCAATATGCAAACATCCTTCATGTCTCTAATCCCACACCCCAACCAAATTGGCTCCCCCTACCCAAAATCACTCCTATAGAACCCTATCCTACACCAACTGCTAAATATCCAACCACTATCTGCGCACCCTCACTCACCCATCCTGACCTCTCCCTTCTCCTCACATATCCTTCATCTACCCTCCTCACTGCACTCCTTACTCTCTCCTGTCCAGAGGCATCAACATTTATCCACAAATTCCCGAAAGAATTATCAGATAATTTCGACGACGCCATCTTTTTTCTGAGATTCACTGTTATCATCATACAATTTGCATCCATCCGCATTCGCTTGAGACACCTCATGATCAACTCTGACACGGCCTCTACTCTCGTTGGTTCCTGCGTTTGGTCATGATCGCCTTTTCTCAGCTTCTGTATAGCTTGTGATGACATGACAAATCTCTTGATAACCACGTTATCGTGTTTAGTAGTGTATTCTGGCAATGGTCGGTTTATAAATCTACTTTGTGGCGGAAAGACTTCAAATGCATCAAATTTCGGGGTTTCAGAGATGTTCAGGTTGATTCCTCGAGTTACATCAGCCCATAATTTGAGGAACAAGGCGATGGATATGCCATCAGCTATAAGATGAGACATGGAGATGGCAATTGCAAGGCCTTTGCCTCTGAATATGTTGAGTTGAATTGCTAGAAGAGGGTCATCTACCCATCTGAATTCAGTTACTTTGATGGGCAGGAGATTGTTGAGTTCGCCGATTGGAGGGTCGAGGAGAAATGAGTCTAAGTCAGACTCTGTTCTAGCTTCTACGAATTCGACTCCTTCGTCGTTGCAGTCCACATAGAGAGTGTTGGAGGGAGATTGCTTGATTTTTCCGGCTAACGGATAGAAGTGTGTTAAGATTTGTGACAGCGAGTTTTGAAGTTTGAGGGGTATCTGATCAAGTGGATGAGTTGTAGTATTGAAGGAGTAGAAGAGAATTATGTGAGTGTAGATTTGGGGTGCAGATTGGTCAAGCAAAGAGAGTCGCAAACTTTGCGAGTGTTGAGGGGTTGGGGATGATGGTTTAATGATTTTTCTGGAGATTATTTGACAATCAAGCAACATAATGGATTAATTGGAGGGGAGAGGGAAAATTTGTTACTGATGATTACTCATAAGCTCCTCTGTCGTATATATAGACACACACACGGATAACGTGAAGACCAAGAAGAGGAGCAGTCCGACGTTTCTTTTTTACCCCTCGGGAAAATGCAGACTTAGTTGGACTTTGAAAAAGTTTCAGATGTCTTGGAGAGAGATTTTTCAGAGAAGAACCCCAGAAGCTGCTAACGTTGCACTAGTTGTGGCCTTCATACTTCCTCGAGTCTTCATCAGTAAAACTCAGAAAGGGAGTGATATTATCCGGCTGGCCACTCTCAAGTAGAAGCCATGCATAAGCCGCCCTACAGTTTGCCAGTCAAAATAAGGAGAACGCTCCGTTGAGAAAAGGGTGCGCACGTTTCGGATGTCTACGTCGTGATCCGTGCGATCCCAATTTCTGCTCGGTATTCTGTCCACTGCTCTGTGATTCATGGGATTCCAGTTTTCTCAGAGTTTGCAAGCTACATGTAGATGATCTCTTCTAAATCCTGTATATTTAACTAAAGGAAAGTGGCACACTTCATCCATCACAAGTAACAGTTTTCACATGGGACAATGCATGGCCTAAAGTACAAAACAAAATAACGCTAAGAAAATGGACTAATCCGAAATGGATAAAGCCAATCAAAGGAATTCAGTTCGTGTTGATTTTAAAAAAAAAATGAACATGTGTTCATGACAAGGAAGTCACGAAACTGAGAACTTAGATTTTAGAGTAAACCATTCTGACTGCACTAGAACAGTATGAGATTGGAAGTCCAACTCAAATTTTCCTATGTAAAGCACAGGAAAATGTGAAGAGCACGTGAGTGCTTGAGGGATTGTTTCCACGTGAGTGCTTGAGGGTTTCTTTTGTTTCCTGGACAATAACCGGCCCACCCGTTTGTCCTTTGTGCATATATATAAACCTAGTTAATTGACCTAGGTAGGCGTGCGAAGGAAGGCTGGGGATTGTTTTTTTGCAACTGCAGGAGTTCTTTTCTTTGGGCGGCTGCGAAGAGGTGCAGGGCCGGTCTTTTCTTTTGGCGGCTGCTGCAGACAGAGAACAAAAAGCAGTGCTTTTGGTGGCTATTCACGGAGGAAAAGCAAGTCTTTTGTAGATGTTCTTTGTTTTTAGCACCCCCTTTGAGAGAGTATTTGTGTGAGGGATCTGAGAGTTTGTGAGAGGGTTTTTATTTGTGAGATTGTAAACCCCAATTGTATCTCTCCCTCTAATAGTAGATCTCCCCCTCCTTGCTCCGTGGACGTAGGCTATTTGCCGAACCACGTAAAAGTTGTGTTCTTGCCGTGATTTGTAATAGCTTGTAGGTTCCCTCGACGCGCAGTCCTAGAGCTGACGAGAGGAAGAGCTGATATCTCACTTTGATGAGATATCTGGCTTTTGGTTCTTGTTTCCTTTGAGAAACGAGAATTTCATTGTGATCTAATCTCTTGTTGTGCACCTTGCGCACCGGAGGTGCTGCCGAAATTTCCGCTGCGCACAACAACGATTTGCCGAACCACGTTAAATCTTGGTGTTTGCTTGCTTGTAGTATTTTTCATTGGGGAGAAACAAGCACATCGGGATCGTCTCTTTCGAAGGCGATACAAAGTCTGAGCATCAATAATACAAAAATTAATATTCCGAAGTTCGACGACAAGATCAATTTCGGTTTGTGGAGGTGTCAGGTGATGGACGCCTTGGATGCACAAAATTTGGAGGAGACTCTTGAGTTACAAGAGAAACCCGCTGATATGGAGGACAAGGTTTGGAAAAAAATGAATAGTAGGGCTTGTGGAGTTATTCGGTCATGCTTGACGCCGGATCTTATTTATGACGTAATGAACGAGACGTCGGTGAAGAGAATGTGGGAAACACTCAATGAGAAGTATCTGACGAAGAGCATTGAGAATCGACTTCACTTGAAGAAGAAGTTTTATCAATTCAAGATGAAGAGGGGAGTTTCCATTCGGGAGCATGTTAACAACTTCACGAAGCTAATTTCGGATATGGCCAATGTAGATATCATGGTTGAGGATGAAGACAAGGCGATGCTACTATTGTGTTCGTTGCCGGAGGATGATTTTGGAACGTTTGTTCTCACTATGATAAATGGAAGAACTACGGTTAGCTACAAGGAGGTGACCTCAGCTTTGGTGAATACCGTTAGTTTGTTACGCTGACTCTACGGAGTGGATGATGGATTCTGGTGCTACATACCATATTTGCCCTAGGAGGGATTGGTTCTCCAGCTTTGAGGAGTTAGAAAGGGGGGATGTCGTGCTCATGGGTAATGATCACGTATGCCCTATTGGTGGTATTGGTACAGTACGGATCCGGATGTGTGACGGGGTGACTCGGGAGCTGAAGGAAGTGAGATTCGTTCATCAGTTGACGAAGAATATCATTTCGCTTGGAACTTTGGAGGCAGCTGGCTATAAGGTGATCTTGGAGAATGCTACTCTGAAGGTCACAAAGGGGTCCATGGTGGTGATGCGAGGTGTCAGGGAAAACAATCTTTACTACTTGAAGGGCAAGATAGTAACAGGGGGTCTGACAGCATCGATTACCACAGAGGAAGATACTACCAGCTTATGGCACATGAGATTGGGACACACTGGTGATAAGTCCCTGCAGGTATTAGCGAAGCAGGGGCTATTGAAGGGTGCGAAGACCTGCAAGATGGAGCTGTGTGAACATTGCATACTTGGGAAGAAGACAAGAGTGAAATTTGACACCGCTATTCACAATACCCAAGGTATATTAGACTATATTCACACAGATGTTTGGGGCCCTTCCAAGTATACATCACTTGGTGGGGCCAACTATTTTGTCACTTTCATTGATGACTATTCCAGGAGAAATTGGGTATACCCGATGAAGCATAAACATCAGGTCCTGGATATTTTTGTGGAGTGGAAGAAGAAAGTAGAGCTGCAGACAGGTAGAAAGGTAAAAACTCTACGTTCTGATAACGGTGGAGAGTATAAGAGTGATCCGTTTCTACAGTTTTGCCGGGATCACGGCATTAGGCGATACTTCACAGTATGTGAGACACCGCAACAGAACGGGGTGGCTGAGAGATTGAACCGTACCTTGCTGGAGAAGGTGCGATGTATGATGACGCGGAGTGGATTGTCAAGATCCTTTTGGGCCGAAGCGTTGGTTTATGCAAGCCATCTCGTGAATAGGTTGCCGTGCACTGCGATACAGGGGAAGACTCCGTTGGAGCGTTGGTCTGGTTCGGTAGCTAGTGACTATGAGTCGCTTCGGATATTTGGGTGCCCTGCTTATTACCATGTCAGTGATGGTAAATTGAATCCGAGAGCGAGGAAAGCAGTCTTTGTGGGATTTAGAGATGGAGTTAAAGGCTTCAAGTTATGGGATCCACAGGACAAGAAGATAGTTATTAGCAGGGATGTCACATTTGACGAGGCGTACATGATGAAGCCTCAAGTTTCTTAGCAGGTGGAGGAAGACCAGACAGTTGGGATATCGCAGCAGGTGGAGGATGATGTGACTCCACCAACTCCAGATAACATTGTATCCATTGAGGCTCCTACAGAGGTGACACTGGGAGGAGATGAGATGACAGACGGGCATTTAGAGGATACAGTGGATGTTGGGACTCAGGAACAGGGTTATGTTCAGGAGTCTATTGCAACTAATAGACCAAGAAGAAACATTCGTCGGCCAGCTAGATATGACGATGTCATGGTTGCATATGCTTTATCAGCAGAAGTTATTGATGATTTGATTCCTTCTACATTCAAGGAAGCAGAGTCAAGCTCTGATTCGATTAGGTGGAGGGAAGCTATGGAAGAAGAGATACGGTCTCTTCATAAGAACGACACTTGGGAACTTGCAAAGCTACCGAAAGGTAAGAAGGCTATTGGATGCAAGTGGGTGTATGCAAAGAAAGAGGGATCTTCTATTGGGGAAATTAGATTCAAAGCCAGATTGGTTGCCAAGGGATATGCACAGCTAGAGGGCGTTGATTACAATGAGGTATTTTCACATGTTGTGAAGCATTCGTCGATTCATATTTTATTGGCATTGGTGGCACAGCTGGATTTGGATTTGGTCCAGATGGATGTTAAAACAGCCTTTCTACATGGGGATTTAGAAGAAGCATTCGTCGATTCGTATTTTATTGGCATTGGTGGCACAGCTGGATTTGGATTTGGTCCAGATGGATGTGAAAACAGCCTTTCTACATGGAGATTTAGAAGAGAAGATCTACATGACACAACCTATGGGGTTCAAAGCTGCAGGAAAGGAAGAATTGGTATGCAAGCTGAAGAAGTCTCTTTACGGATTGAATCAATCGCCGTGACAATGGTACAAGAGATTCGACGGCTTTATGATTGGCCGAGGGTACACGAGGAGCCCATATGACCCGTGTGTTTACATGCACAAGCTACAGAATGATGAGTATATCTATTTGCTATTATATGTTGACGATATGCTCATAGCTTCCAGGAATACTTCAGCTATTAGAAAGTTAAAAAAGGAGCTGTCATCTGAATTTGAGATGAAGGATCTTGGAGAAGCAAAGAAGATATTGGGTATGGAGATCGAGAGAGACAGGGTGAAGGAGAGGTTGAAGTTGACACAGAGGAGTTACTTACAGAAAATGCTGAAGAAATTCAGTTATGATGGTAATGCCAAGGCGGTGAGTACTCCATTAGCTCCCCACTTTAAGCTATCAGCTAAGATGTCACCTGTTTCAGTTGAGGACCGGGAATACATGTCTAAAGTTCCATATGCCAATGTTGTGGGTAGCTTGATGTATGCGATGGTGTGTACAAGGTCAGATTTGTCACAGGCCGTGAGCATGGTATCTAGGTACATGCATGACCCCGGGAAGGGTCATTGGGAGGCCGTGAAGTGGATTCTACGGTATATTAAAGGTACCGTGGATGTTGGTTTGGTATTTCAGAAGAATGAGAAGACAGGACATGATTGTATTGGTTACGTGGATTCTG